TCCCAGCCCTCCAGCCCTGCAGCGCCGGCTGGCTCTGCTCTGCGCGATGAACCAGCGGGGGGGGGGGGGGGCCGGTGAGCCTCGAGGCCCAGACTCCGGTGCAGCGGCGGCCGCCTGCCCGCTGCCCGGCCCTTGCACGCCTTCTGGCCGGAGGAGCCTGTGCCAGCCCTCCATCCTCGTGGGCTTCCCCTGGCCCTCGCCCGGGGCCGGGAGCGCTCTCAACTGCCCGCCCCGAAGCACCTGGTCCCACTTGGAAGTGTGTCCCCTGGCAGGCCAGGCTGGGCGGAGGGAGGGTCAGGCACTGCTGCCCCAAGGGGCACTGCCGGCACCCCCCTTTCCCTGGGGCAGGGCCCATGTCCGCCCCACTTGGCTGGAAGAGCTGATCCGGGGCAGGGGCTTGGCGGGCCTCGGGGTTGTGCCTGCCGTGGTGTCGCTGACGCTCTGCGTGCTTGCATCTCCTGCAGGGCAATGCGCGAGACAATGTCTGCCGTGCCACTCGCATTCTCAAGGACCTGAACACCCAGAGTGATGTGAGGTGAGCCGCTTTTGTCTCCCTAGCTGGGGCGTGGGGGACCAACGCCTGGACCCAGGCCTGGTGCTGTCTTGGCAGACTCATGAAGGCTGCAACACAAAGGTAGCGCAAAGCACAGGAAGAACAATGTTCTTTTGGGTGTTGCATCCTGACCCTGCGCCAAATGAGTGGTCTTTGCTGTGCTCAGCTCAGGGCGCCCCTCAAGCCAGGACTGCTGACCCAGGAACTGGCACTTGTTCTTACAGAAACGGAAACAAGCGAGTCATAAGCGGCCTCCCAGGCCACCAGGTCTGACCGCTGGCTCCAACATGTGGTTGGCCAATCGTTCCTTGAATGCTCTTACTGATGGGGCCTCCACCACCTCCCTTGAAAGCCCTTTCCATATCCGAGGGGTCCTAACCGTCAGGAAGGGCTTCTTGGCATCCATCCTGAAGCCTGGTTCCTTGAGCTTTGCCCCACTGGCATGTGTCGCACCCTCCACTGCAAGGAAGAACAGATCCCGGCCCTCCTCCACATGGCGTCCCCTCACCTACTTAGAAGTCACTAAAAGATCCTCTCGAAATCTCCTCCAGGCTGAAAAGGCCCAGTTCCCTCCATCTCTCCTCACACGCCATCCCTCCCAGCCCGACTCACGTTCGTGTGACCCTGCATGGAACCGATTCCAACCTAGCGATGTCTCTCCCATAATGTGGAGCCCAGAACTGGACGCCGTGCTCATCCTTTGGTGCTTCCCTGTGGGATAAGGACATGTCCTCTGGCACCTGCAGAGGGTTCTTCGTTGGCCTTTGAGTGCTGCCTTGTGGAGCTTGTTCGACTGGGAGAATATGGCCCCCCCAGTCAAACCAGCCCCTCAGAGGGCTGCCCAGCTGTACCCTGAAGGCCCCCAGTGCGGGAGAGCCCACCCCCTCCTTGTACCAGGGGCTCCATCGCTGTCCTGAACTAATAGTGAAGAATTTTTTCCTGATGCTCAGTGGGAACCTGGCTTCCTGGAACCTGAGCCCGCTAGTCCGTCTCCTGTGCTCTGGGGTAACTGAGAAGAGATCCTGGCCCTCCGCTTTGTGACAGCTTTTCAAGGACTTGCAGAACGATGTCATATCTTCTCCCCAGCCCCCCAACTGAATATGCCCAGTTCTCTCAGGCTCTGCTCACAGCAGGGTTGTCAGCCCCCTGAGCCCCCGTGTTTCCTCCTCAGACCCCGCTCTGTGGGCCTGCATCCTTCTTAAAGTGTGCTGCCCTGCTGGCACAGTGCTCAGATGAGGGAGGCTGGCCCATGCGCCTGGAGGGGAGCGGGCCCACGTGCCTCTTTTGGCGGCCGTCTCCCGCTCTTGGCTCACCCGGCGCCGCTGCCCCCCTCTCTCCGCCAACCCTGCAGGTGCCCCCTTTTTGAGGTCAGGTGGGGCCTGCACAGGGTGGCCCACCTGTGCCGGGATTGGCTGCCTGAGCTGCCCCTGGAACTGATGGCCGAGTGGGTGCACGAGGACCTGGCCGAGCAGTGGCGGCGCCTTGCCTTCGACGACGTCCCCACCGGGGGCGCTCTGGCCTGGCTGCCCAGCAGTGGCGGCAGGGGGGCCGCCCGCCGCGGCTTCCTGGTGTGCCCAGCCGGTGAGGCCATGAACCTGCTCCGTATCCTTTGAGCGGAGGAGGTGGGTGGGGAGAGCTGGTCGTTTGCGGGGGGTGGAATGTGAGTGGCGATCGGCCGGCAGGCCCGTCCCCCGTGGAGCCCCGCCTCTGCCCCCAGCCCCACCAGCCCCTTCTGCCGTGGCGACGGTCTGCCAGCCACCCGTCTGGCCTCCCTGGAGCCCCCTCCCCCTTCTCGTTGCCCAGCGGAGCTTCCTGAGCTGATCCTCCAGGCTTCCAGGACGTGGCCCTGGAGCCCACGGCGAGTGGTGCCTTGAGAGCGCTGCCCCACGGCCGCCCCGCGCAGTTCGAGCTCAATGGGGCGATCCAGCAAGTGGCGGCGGCGCACGTGAACGGCCACGGTGAGTCGGAGGTGCTCCAGAACCCGCATCCCCCCCCCGCCGTTCCGAGACGCTGCCAGCGCGCTTAGGCCGGCTGTCCCGCTCTGCTTCCCTGCACAGAGTTCGTTGGCGTGCGCTCCGAGCATCACTGTGGCGTGTGGCGGATGCAGCGCGGAGCTGCCCCGGAGCCGCTGCAGGTCGTCTGCACTGACGCCCCCTGCTCCTCCATCGCGGTCAGGTGAGCCGTGCCCGTGCCGCCGGGGGGGGCCCCTTCCACGCCCTGGCTGTGCCCGCCCAGCGTGGCTTCCTGTGGACCCGCTCCCGCGGAGTGCCGTGCAGCCCAGCCGGAGCGTTTGGTGACTCCCGGCCACTTCACGCCCCCCGTCGGTCGGCTTGGCTTCCCAGAACCGCAACCTTGTGCTTGTGGTGTACTTAGCGGAGGGGCTTGGCTGCCTGGGAGGGGGGATCACCTCATGTGAACCCCCCACAACTTACTTATATCGCTTGTGGGGGGGCGGGTGCAGATCTGCCTTTGTTGCTGAGTTGGAGCTCAGGGGATGTTCTATTTTCCAAGCATTTTGAACACATAATGGTACATTCTGAGTTGCAGAAATGTGGGGACTAATTTACATGTCTGTTTTGTTTATTTGGGGGGAAAACCCTTAATTTTTAGTCCAAAGCTGCTGCGCAACCATTGATTGAAAAGGCAATACAATAAAAATGGGGAGATAAAATCAAAGATTGCCAAAGCCCAAAAACTGCTTGGAAACTTTTCCTCTCTGCTAAACTGGTAGTCAAGAGTTATATTTTCCTTCAAAAGAGGAAACCTCTCTAAAATGAGGGAACTGGTACAAAGAGAAGTTGAAGAGGGGAGTCGGGAGGGTTAAAGCTTTAAAACTTGGGCCTCTTATTGAGTGTCCTGCCCTCTCGGGTGACTGAGAAGGGGCTCCTCTGCAAATCAGACTTGCAGGCACTTCCGGGCCGAGCGACCCTCCCTGCCGGCTTCTCTTCGCAGAGACCAACATGACTGGTCCTTTCACTTTCTCCGTGCAGGTCTTTTCTGTGACTTGGAGGTGATGCTTCTAAACATGCAGCTCAAAGAGCCTTTGCTTTTTTCGCAGTCCCACCACACTGTTAACTCACATTCACCTTGTGATCTCCAACGGTTAAGACCCTCCTCGCTTGCCGTGTCCCTCACCTTAGTGCTCTGCGTCTGGTTTCCTTTTCCCAGAGGCGGGAGCTGCTTCCCGAGCACAGAACGAGCGGTGCTGCGGCTTCCCAAGATCGCGCTGAATGACGCTTCTTCCCCCGGGCGTTTTAGCGTTCCCTGTCAGTTCCCTGTCAGTAAACAATGTGAAGAGCGCTGCGTCCTGCGGGGCCCCGGTTTGAGAAGCTGCCCCTGATGAGCACCCTTTGGGTCCGATTCTGTCGCCACCTGTGGATGCACCTGGTGGTTCTTTCATCGAGTTTCTTTTTGCTGGTTTGCCAAGCAGGATATCGCGAGCCTCTTTGTCAAAGGCTTTGCTGAAGGCAAGATAGATGATGCCCACAGCATTCCCACAGTCTCCCAGAGGGGTTACCTGATCAGAACATGAGATTAGATTAGTCCGGCAGGATTTGTTTTACACAAGTTCATGTATACTTATAACATAGAATCAAAGAATAGTGGCATTGGGAGAGGCCAGGAAGGCCACTGGGTCCAGCCCCCTGCTCTTGCAGGGCACCAGGTCACACCCTCCCACCCAGATGGCTGCCCAGTTCCACCTTGAATGCCTCCAGTGTGGGAGAGCCCACCACCTCTCCTGGCAGCCAGTTCCACTGCCGTATTGCTTTGACAGTGAGGAAGCTCTTCCTGATGCCCAGCCTGAACCTGGGTTGTCGCACTTTGCCTTGATTCTTCCGTGTTCTGCTCTCTGGCATCAGCGAGGAGAGATCTTGACCTCCCTCTTTGTGACAGCCTTTGAGGGACTTACAGAGGGACACCGTGTCCCCCCCTCAGTCTTCTTGAGGCTGAGGATGCCCAGTTCTCTCAGTCTCCTCACAGGGCAGCGTTTCCAAACCCTCGATCACTTTGGTTCCCTCCTCTGGGCCCTTTCTCATTTTCCTGCTTCTTTCTTAAAACTCGGGGCCCAGAACTGAACTCAGCGTTCCAGCTGAGGTCTGACTAGTCAGAAGTATAAGGGAACTACTACTTCTCATGATTTCGAGGTAATACTTCTATTAATGTATTCCAAAAGCGCTTCCATGACTGCTCTCCAGCCACTGGGACATCCGTCCCTGTTGGCCAGACGTCAAGGGTGGCCCATCCCCTTTCTGCCGGAGGAAGTTTCCAGCAGCACAAGTTGGCGGAATTTGTCACCCAGCTGATACTGGGAAGGCTGGTGTGGCCCTGTTAAGGGTGCAGCCTGCCTCCGTGAAGGGCTGGGCGTGTCCTTTGCAAAAGTCTCATCTCCCTGGAGTGGGTGGCCCGCAGGAAGCTCTCCCTGAGTCTTTGCTCCGTTTTTTTCATGCAGATCCTTTGATGGGGCTGCTAAGCTCACGCTCTGCATTTCCGCGCAGAGACGGGCATGGCCAACTTACAGAGGGACCCGCTTCCCTTTCCGTGCCTTCCGTCCTTGCACAAGTTCTGTCCTTCAGCTGCTGGATTCCATCACAGCATTCGTCCTGCCAAGTGCCCGTTGTAGCTACCAAGTTGCATTTGCTCTCCTGTGTCGACAGCTCACGTTTGTGTCTGAGAATTAGCACAGCGGCATCTGTGCTGTATAGTCTAGCTCTCCTCCAGCGTTTTTGGAAGACGGGGGGCTTACTGCAGTGGCACTGCCCCCCCTTTGTGGCGCACAAGCGTTTGTCCATCACGTTTTCCAAGTTTACTTCTTCCTTTCCTGCTTTAGTTTTTTCTGCTTTCTCCCTTTGGCCAGTGAGTGGTCCGTAAGAGAACCTGTCCTCAACTCTTTGACGGCCAGGTTTGGTGAGGGAGTCTGAGTGGCCCTTGGGTACCTGAGCAGGCCCTCTGGTATTTGGCTGGGCTCGCAAAAGGGGTTGCGGAGCCATGGGCTCTGGATTTCTTTTGCACGGATCCATGTGGCCAGCGTTCTTTCCTTATGGAAAAAGGAGACCCCGTGGCTGAAGCCAGGAAGGATTGGGGCTGCCTGGCCCGGCCTCTGGCCCGCTGCTCCAGCCCCGGCCACTGACCCGCGGCCTCTCGTCTCTGCAGCCCGCACCTGCCTGGGGAGCTGTCCTTCTGCACCCGCCGTGGAGCCCTGTACACGTGGAGCGTGGAGGCCGGGTGAGCGAGGCCGCGGCTAACGGAGTCGCGCGCAGAGGAAGGCTCCTGCTGCTGCGGGAGGCGCGGTTGCATGTGGCTGCCTCTCCAGAGGAGGCTCCGCAGAGTGTCGTGGAGGGCGAAAGCGATCGTGACGATGCTCGTGCTTTGGGCGTGGGGCGAGGAGGCAGGGAGGGGCCCCGGCCCCGGTGCTTGAGGAATCCGGCGGCTTTCCTGCTTCCCACAAGGCCGTCCCGTGTCGTGATGCTGGTCGCTGACCTAACCTGCACATACAAGAACATTTCTTTGCTTCTGTGCCGTTTGACGCATTTGGGGTGTGCATGTAACCTGGCCAGAAGCAGCGGGGTCCGTGTGCCCCCCTAGGGGTGCCCTCCCATCCTGGCCTGACTCAAGACGGTGCCCGCCGTCCGGGCCAGCGGGCAGGCTGGGGTGGCAGCTGTGCCAGGCAAGGCCGGGAAAGCCGCCTCGTCCAGCGGTGCCGTTCAGAGGAGGCGCTGCTCCGGGCCGCGTCTTGGTGTTGGCGGCACAGCCTGGTTGCCGGGGGCCGGGCGGGGGCCAGGTGGGCAGTCTGCCCTGGGCATTGTTCCCCCGGGGCCAACACGGACTCTGCCCCGCCAGGCCTCGGCTGCTGCACCGGGAGAGCGAGACCATGTTCTTCTGCGACCCGTCTCCGTGGCGCTGGAGCGACTTCACGGCCCACCCATGCGTGCTCACCTTCGCGGACCGCACGGGTGTGAAGAGCATCGACCGGCGGGTGAGGCGCCGCCACGGGAGGGAGGCCACGCTGCAGTGCCCCGGCACACCCGCCTTCCCGTGGCCCTGCCCAGGGGACGGTCATGGTGGAGCGGGCGCCGTTCCCGGGATTAACCGCCTCTTCGCGATTCCAGGTGCCCCCGAGCTGCCCCGCTGAGCTTTTCAAAGTGGGGGGTGAAGCCGAATGCCAGCAGGGGGAGCGCCTGGTGCTTGCCAAGTATCTGGGCCAGGCCGAGCCCTACCACCACCTGGTTGCTACTCAGGTAGGCACGGCGCATCTCTCCGTGCCAGGAACCCTGGAGCTCTCCCGAGCCCGTGCAGAGGGCGGGCCGCAGCCTGGGCTTCGCAGGAGACCCCCGCACCCACAGGGCTGGAGGGGGGCCGTGGCAGGGCCCCTGCCCACCCCTCGTGGGTGCCGCCTGCATTGTGCGAGACAGGGGCCACAGGCTCCCTTGCTGGGGCAGATTCTGCCCCTCCCCATTGGGGTACTTCACAGAGCTGGGGCAATACTGTTGTGCTGTGGTTTCAGTAGTTCAGGGTTCAAGTCCGTCCCCTTCAGCGACTGGGTGTTGGCGGCCCCCAGCCCAGCCCAGCCCGGCCCGCCCGCTTATAGCACAGGTAGGGGGTGGCAGAGGGACGGGGGCTGCGGCTGCGTGTCTCACGGCGTGTGCCTCGCTCCCCAGTTCTCGGTCTATGTGCTGGACGAACGCTTTCCGCTCGTGCCCACCCTGCGCTGGGAGCACATGATGCGGAGGCCCCCCATCTGCGCCCACCTCGTGCCTGCGGCCGGGCCCCCGCGGAACCGCCACCAGGTGCTCCTGGCTGCCCACCACTCCCAGGAGCTGCTGCTGCTGCAGTACGCAGGTGCGGGGACCAGGTCCGGGTCGTGGGGGGGGCGGAGGGAGGGAGGGGGTGTGCCTCCCAGCCGCTGACTGGCCTCTTCCCCCAGGGGGCCGCCACACCCCCTGCCAGCTCCAGGGGCCGCCGCAGAAGCTCGCCTCCATCCGGGAGTGCCTGCCTTGCTTTCCTGCACAGGTGCCTGTTCGGCAGCATGCTCTACGCCAGCGCCTCAGGGCGCCCACGGCAGGTATGCAGCGGGGGGGGGGGGGGGGGAGGGGGGAAGGGCTGGGCTGGGGCCGAGCCGGGAGCTGCTGCGGGTCCACAGGCCGTCAGCAGGAGCTGCGCCTCGGCCCTGGGGCGAGCTCAGCCTTGCTCTGCTGCTGGCCGGGAGACGGCCAAGGAGGTGTGCGGGCTAGCGGGGGGGGGTTGCTCGTGCCCAGGGGGCTCCCAGGCCCGGGCGGGCGGCTGCACTCTGTCCCCTTGGTGGGCTTCCCCACTCCTGCGAAGTGCTGCTTCCCCTTGACTCGGCCCCGGCGAGGCCGCCTCCGGAGCGCCGGATCTGCTGGCGGGCACCACGGTCGAGGAAAGATGAGGCACGATGGGAAGGGTTCAGCGGAGGACAGCGAGGGGACTGGAAGCAGAGCCCCGGGCAGAGATGGAACGAGCCGGGCATGTGCAGCCTCGGGAAGAGAAGGCCGAGCCGGGAGAGGGGAGCACTCGCAAGCACTTGAAAGGCTGCCACAAAGAGGAAGGCCGGGGCCTCTTCCGATCGCCCTGGATTGTGGGATGCAGGGCAGCAGGCTCCAGCTGAGCCTCGGGAAGAACTTCTGAGATACGACAAGGGAGCCCAGGGCCTGCGAGGCGGGGGGCTCTCCCCCGCAGGACGGGAGGCCTTCCGGATGCGGCTGGATGGGCATCAGTGCGGGACGCTTGAGCTGGGAGTCCTGGCTGAGCAGCGGGTGGGCCCTCTGGCCCCTTCCTGCTCTGTTGCTTGGAGTCCTTTAGGGGCGGCTGGCCAGCCCCTTTTGAGCAGCTGCTGGGCAGGAACAGCCTCTTTGGGCTTGACCCTCCACAAGCCCGGTATCTTTATTGTGTGCGCCCCTGAAGTCCACCCAGGAGTGTGGGTGGAGCGTCCCGTCCCAAAGCGGCTCCGGCTCTCGTGACCGAAGGAGTTCCACGCTCGAGGCCTGTCCCCGACAGCTGCCGTTTCCTGTGGTTTGCAGTGCCGCTGAGACGAGGCCAGCAGGTGTGCAGCGGACCTGCTTGTCCCAGGAAAGGCCCCCACCGTGGTCTCTCTCCCCTCCCCTGCAGGTATCGCAGCTGCCTTTGGCCAGCAGGGCCAAGCCCCGTCTCTGGTGATCTTCCAGCTGTCGGAGGTGGGAGACCTCTTCTACCAGCCGCTGCTCCACCAGGACGACTGTGGGGAGGAGGCCTCAGGCGGGGCGCAGCCCGGACCAGAGCGAGACGTCTCCCACCAGGGCGGCGTGGGCGCTGGAGCAGAGCGGGAGCAGGCTGGGCCTGTGGGCTCTGGAGCGGCCGCCGCCTGCCGGGGCTTGCCGCCTCAGCCCCCCGTGCCTGTGGAAGAGAGCGGCTCCGTGGCCGCCCGGTACCGGTGCTGGCTCAGCGCCTTCCTGAGGGCCTGGGAGCGGCTGCCTGAAGAAGCCCAGGGCCGGCTGCAGCCGCTGGCCACCGTCACCCAGGACCGCCTCTTCACCCATCGGGAGCTGCGGGAGCAGCCGTGGTTCGCACCGCTCCACACCGAAGCCTGCCAGCGCCTGCACGCCTCCATGGAGAAGCAGCTGCTCCTCTGCCCCTGGGAGGAGCGGGGTGTGGCCCCCTTGCCCCCGGCCCTGGAGCCTGCGGGGCAGCTGGATGAGCTGGGCCGGCGGCTCACGGCCTCCTGGGCCGGCAACTGGCTCGGCTGGTGGCAGGAGAAGCTGGGCCTGACCAAGGCGCAGAAGCAGCAGGCCTTGCGGGAGCAGCGGCGGCGGCGCAAGAGGGCCCGGGGCACCCTCAGCCTGTCCGGCAGCTTCACCTCCTCCACCAGCTACCAGTCGGACCTCAGTGACTTTTCCGGGCTGGGAAGCAGCAGCGGCATCTCTGCGGGCCCGGAGTCCGCCCAGCCGGCTCCTGCAGTGGGGGCAGCCGAGGAACCCTCCCCACTGCTCCCCAGCCTGCCCCCTGCCTCTCAGGACTCGCAGCTGGACTCGCAGCTGGATTCCCAGGACACCTCTGAGCTGCTCTCATCCCAGAGCCTGCGCTCCCGAGGGATCCCCCGCGAGCGCCGCCGGACCCTGCGCAGCTACCTCGCCCTGTGGGACGAGCCCGACGAGCCCCCAGAAGGGCTGCCCCCCAGTCAGACTGAGGCCCTCGGCAGCCAGCGCTCTGCCCTGTCCTCCCAGCACTCCCAGAGCCAACCCAAACGTGCCCGCATGGGCTTCTGACACGCAGCCAAGGCTGCTGGAGACAGACGGACAGGGGGGCGGGGGGCTTGGCCCCTGGGCCTGCTGTATCCCAGTCAATAAACGGCGGGAGCTCTTTCCGCACCAGCCGTGCAGGCATCTGGCTCTGCATTCGTTCTTCCGGGAGGGTCTGTGCTGCACAGCGGCTGCACAGTGAAACGGGTGGATTCAAAGTGCAAAAAGCAGGCCCGGTCTGGTCCAGCCGTAGTGGCTGGCGCGGCCCTTGCCCGCCGGACGCTCGGCCCGCTCCTCGCCCGCCGCACCTCCGCTCCTCGGCACCCGCTCTCCCTGTGCCGGTCGCGGGGGCGGGCGACCTCTGCGTCCCTGGCTCGGTATCGCGCCGCCGCAGGCGGAGCGCGCAACCCCCCCTGCGCGTCCTGCTGGTCTCCCGGCCGCCGGAGCCTTCCTCGCGCACGCGCAGCCTGCCGGGGCGGAAGGGGCAGGCGCGGCGGCATGGCGGCGGCCGTGGCGCGGGGGCTGCTGCGGGCCCGCGGCTGGCAGCGACCCGGGCAGGTAGGTAGGCGGGCTGGCGGGCGCGGGGTCGGAGTGCCGCCCTGAGTGCGGGGGCGCGGCACGGAGCCCGGGCGCTCTGGTGCTGCGCCTGCCTCTCGCAGCCCCGGGACCTTCGGGGCGCCGATGCCCGAGGAGCAGCGGACGATCCAGTCGGTGGCCCTGAAGGCGGCGGCGGCGGCGGCGGCCGCGCGTGGTGTTCGGCTGGCCTGGTCGGTTTCCTGGCCGGCCGCGCCCCCAAAGGCGCCCCGACAGCCTCGTTCAGCGCCGCGCTCCCCGCCCAGCACCACCGTTCAGCGCCAGCCGCCTCGGGCGCGCTCTTTCGTGCTCGGCGCAGCCCGCCTATGGAGGCCCTGCGAGGCAGCGCCCGCGGGCGCCTCCGGGTGCGGCGGCGGCGGGAGGGGGCTGGCGGGCCGGGCCTGCGAGGGGCAAGTGAAGACGGCCCTGGGCTCCCCAGCGCACGGAGCCCGGGGTCGGCCCCGGGGCCGTTTGCTTGGCACGGGCGCGGCCGGATCGTGCTCCGGCGGGCGGCGTTCTCACCCGCTCCGCCCCGGGCGGCCCCGCAGCAGCGGCGCTGGAGCGGGCTGCCGCCGGAGCCCTTGCCGGGTGCGCGCTGGCTGCGCCCGCCTGGCTCACTTGCTCTGCGCAGAGGGCGCTCGTGGCCCCGCGAGGGCCGGAGGAGGAGGTGGAGAAGGCCCAACGGGCGGCCCGGGAAGCGGGCGCCCCGACCGTCTTCAGCAGGATCCTGGACGGCTCCCTCCCCGCCGACATCCTCTATCAGGACGACAAGGTGGGTAGCGGCGGAGGGGGCGCGGGGGGCGTCGCTGCCGGGCCTCTGTGGGAGGACGGGAGGGGGCGCAGCAGGCGTGCCGCGCCCCGGGCCCCTTCTGTGCTTTCTAGGCTCCAGCCCGGACCTTGGAAGGACAGGGCCGGAGCGCCCCTGCGCCTGCTTCTCATCAGAGAGTAACCGCGGACGTTTCGGGCCGACGGCACTCCGGCTAGCGCTGGGGGCGCTTTGCTTTGCTCGCTTCCAGCACTGTGATCGCCCCTCTGCCTTTCCGCCCCCAGTGCGTGGCCTTCCGGGACGTGGCCCCACAGGCGCCCGTGCATTTCCTCGTGATCCCCAGGCGCCCCATCCCCCGCATCAGTTGCGTGACTGAGAGCGACAGCCAGGTGAGTGTGGGGGCCCCAGTCCTGCAGGTGCCGTGGGAAGGCAGGAGGGGCCTGCTCCGGGAAGGAGGGGGGCTTCGGGGGTCTGTCGGGGTGCTGAGAGCCAGGCCTGCGCAGGAAGGGCCACTCCGGGGCATGTGCCCCGTGGCCCTGCCCCGGCTGTGAGCGAGCCTCTTCCAGAGTTGCATTCTGGGTTCTGGTGCCAGTGAGGCTGGCGTGTGACCGGCCCAAATGGGGCAGGGTCCTTGGCAGGCAGTTCCCTGCCTCGGCAGAGCGCTGTCCCCCTTGGCAGTGGCTGTTCAGTGTATTATGGGCTGTCCCAGCCAGCACGAGCACGGCATGTGAGCGAGCACGCGGCCTTCGCAAGGATCTCTGCCGCACTTCCTCCTCCTGGTGGCTGGGGGGTTCTTGGGGGCTCATCTTTTCCTCTGTCACCGTATTTCCTCTTGCATGGCAGAAACAAAGGCCGTGTGATCTTGTTTCTTGCTCTGTTCTGTGGGATATCACAACTCGTGAGGGCCAGGCAGAGATGCGCACGCTGCTTGAAGGCCTTGCAGGTGGTCCTCAGGCTTCTGTGTGCCAAGGGGGGGGAACCGCAGCGCCCCCCCCCCATTTGATCTCCTGCCATCCTCAGCTCCTGGGACACTTGCTGCTGGTGGCCAGTCAGACGGCAAAGCTGGAGGGCCTGTCAGATGGCTACCGTGTGGGTGAGTAGCCGTCATGCCCCTCCTTGACTGGGGGTCTGGCGACGGTGCGGGTGTCCTCCTGCCGCGGAGCGCTGGCCCTGGGGCTGGCCGAGCCAGAGCTGCCGGTGGGGGGGTGGCAGCATGGCTCCAGCAGGCCTTCTGGGGCCCCCACCCAGACCCACGGGGGGGGGGCGCGTGTGCACAATGAGGGGCGCCTCCTCTGCGGAGCAGCAGTCCTGGCCGCCCTTCTCTGGCCATGGGACGCGCCCCGGGCGGTCCTTCCAGGCTCCCGCTGCGGGTCCCCTGCGGGGCCTCTGCGTCTGGCCACGCAGGCCCCAGTGTGCTCTTGCACTCCTCCCGGGGGGCGCCTCCTGCCCCGCCGGGGCCCAGGACCCGTGTGCTCACGCGTCTCCCTGCCCCCCACCCGTCCTTCTCTTCCAGTGATCAACGACGGGCGGCAGGGCGCCCAGTCCGTCTACCACCTGCACCTGCACGTGCTGGGCGGGCGCCAGATGCGCTGGCCTCCTGGGTGAGCCGCGGAGGGCGGCCGCGCGGAGAAATAAACGCCTGCTGCAGGACCGGACGGGGGATGCTTCCTGGGAGCGCCGGGCTGCGGGAGTGGCTTCCTGGGGGCGGCTGAAGTGGCCGCCCTCCTGTGGGGTGAGCCCCTGGTGGGCCTGCAAAGGGACGGCCCGGGCAGGTGGGGAGAGGGTGGGAGGGCGCTGAGGCCTCGAGGCCGCCCGTGTCCTCAGGACCAGCTGGCTGCCTCTCCCGGCTTGCCTCCTCTGCATCCGGTCTGCGGCGGGGCCAGTACCCTGGCGTGACAGGAGCAAAGGGAACAGGGTCAGACCAGAGGGCCGCTTAGTCCGCGATGGTGACCGGATGCCCCTGTGCAAGACTCACGGAGGCGGGGAGCTGAACGTGGCCGCTTCTCCTGCTCGGCGCCCCGCAAGCGGCATGGGAACACGGGGGAAAGCAGACCCGCTCGAGTCGCACAAAGCTCAGCCGTTGGATGTTGGTCTGGGGGTTTCCTGGGGCTGCTGCTTCCAGGAGCAGGTTACAGGCCACTGGCCTGGCCACACGTGGCTCCACCTCATCCTCCGGGGCTCCGCTCTTCTCCCACAGTCCCTGTGCCCGTTTATCCCGATTCAGAACCTGGCCAGAGGCAAAGGGAGCCCACGAGGGCGTCCCAGTCCTTGCGTGCCGGTGCTTAGAAACATAGAAACAGAGCGAGTCAGAAGGGGCCTCCCGGGCCATCTAGTCTGACCTCCGGCACCAGCCGGCTCCGCTCACGACATACCCACCATGTGCACGTCCAGCCTATCCTTGAACAACCGCACCGATGGGGCCTCAGCCACCTCCCGGGGAAGCCCATTCCACACCCTCGGGGTCCTGACTGTCAGGAAGTGCTTCCTGTCTCTGCGTGTGGCGCCTGTGGGGAAGGGGCTTCGCCTCGGGAAGAGGGAAGATATCCCTTAGAAGGGACCCTTTCCGTGGAAGGGGAGCATTTCCCCTCCTGCCCCAAGGATGTGCTCGGGGGAGCTTTGCTCGCCAGGCGCATAGGCAGGAGGGCCCGTGGTGTGGCGCGAGCCCATGCCGACTCGCCTGCCTGAGGCCACGCACCCCGGGGGCGGCTTGGTGGTCAGCACTCTGCTGGTACCACCTACAAGGGGGATGCCGGCAGGAGGTCCTGGGCGCCAAAGCGAGGTTGCTGGGCAGGAAGCAGGTGCCTGGGGCGCCCACGGCGGTCTTCTCTGAGATGCTGCTGCTCCATTAGGAAAGGGGTCCCACTGGGGGCGCAGATCACCAAACCGGTGTAGCCTGGAGAGGTTTGATTTGGCTGGACTCTGGGTAACCTTCTGGGGCAGGCTGGGGGTGTGTGAGAGGGGTGGCCCCCGAGCTGAACCGCACGAGGGCCAGACTGCTGGCTCGGAACAGGAAGGGGGGTGGAGGAGGTCTCCGAGGGAGCCTTGCTTGGGGAAGGGCTTGGAGCTGGAGGCATCCCACTTGGGCGAGATCATGCCAAGGGGTGCTGCTGTTTCTGATCGTTGGGGTGCAGGAGGGGAGGAAGGAGACCGTGCAAACAGGAACGGACAGCACCCGCCAGCACCCCCTCAGGGGGATGTCGGGTGCAGGCACTGCTCTGCCAGGGCTGGAGCCCTCGGAGCGAGTGGGAAGCTGGAGCATCCGCCTGCCTTCAGGGGGAGGCCAGGGAGGTGCACTGCAGACCTGGTGAAGTGGGGAGAGGCGGTGGGTGCGCCTCGAGAGGCCAGGCGCACATCGAAGAGAACGCGGAGTCCAGTGGGCTCCCCCGCGTCCGGATGCCCCATGTTATCTTGGGCTGGCGAGTGAAATCAGGGAGGCCTCCAAAAAGGCAGTGCTGAGCCAAGGGGAGACGTCACCCGCTCGTGCCCCGACTGACAGAAATGCTGAATCCCGCGACGTTCCGTGCCCAGCGGTGTCCTGGAGCCATTCTGTAGTGGCTTCGATTCTGGTCGGGCTGCCCAAGACCTCATGCGAGCTCTCAGGGTTGCTGAATAACCGGAAACCGACCACAGCACTGTCAGATTGAAGACGCGATTGAGTTAAAAAGTGCCGAGGACGGTTCGACACGGTCACGTTTGACTTGAGGAAACCTCTAGAAGGAGGGACATGGTGAGAGGAGGTCAAAAGGGAGTGTCACAGGCTGGTGCCTCCCTTCAGAACACTCAGAGGTTTCCCAAAACCGCATGAGGAGAAGCTTAGCTAGAAAGCACGGCACAGGGAGGCAGGGGACACCGAGCCCAAGCGGCATCGGCGTGGCTGACGAGCGGAGCCGGGGATCTGCGGGAGGAAGGCCTCCTCCAGCAAACGGCTTGCTGGACGGAGGGCAAAAGGGGGCACACGCGCGGGGGAGACGCCAGCAGGCAGCGAGAGATGCGAAGGGCAGCCTGGGAGCGCATCGCTGGCAGTCGGGCAGTCTCGGACGTGTCAGGAGCCAGCTGGGGAGGCCGCCGGGCCCCGCGTCACCACGGAGCCAGAGGAGCACCAAAGGGGGATTGGGAGGGTGCTCAGGAGCCCGGTGGATGCTTTTGATCCATCTTTGCAGCCGAGTGAATTATTTTCATCTGCTTTCACAGGGGAGCAAACGGGAGATACCTGTTCCTGGACTTAACGGTTCTGGAAGGGGGTCTGAGGAATTAAGGCGGGTGGCAGCGCCAAGAGGCAGCGCCCTCAGTCTTCTTGACCTACTGAAAATTCACAAATCGCCAGGCCCAGAGGGCATCCCTCTTAGAGTCCTTGGGCAGCTCAGCCAGGCCAGGCGTGGACTTCCTTGTCTGCTGACGGAAACGCGTTGCGTGTCCCTGAGGTCGGCTTCTGTACCGAAGGACCGGAAAGCAGCCGGTGCAGCACAGAAGGGGTCCAGGTGGGGTCTGGGAAGTTGGAGGCTGGTTGGCTAGCCTCGTTTCCAGGGAGACTGGTTATCAAAGGCAAAATTCGGCAGCAAAACGAAGGGCAAGCCCTGCCGGGGCAGCCCACTTAACCCGCGTGGCGGCCCTGGGGGTAAGCCCCACCTGTCCGCAGAGATCTTGCAGCGTGGCGCTGAGCACGTGGGCAGGGAGGCCCCCGCTTGTGGGTGCTCAACTGACCAAGGAGAGGGCAGTGAGTCTGCATGTGCTGAATCCCCCACTTGGGGGAGGGCTCAGCCAAGGTGTCCAGCGGGGTCTGTACTGGGGGAAATGCTTTCCGGCTTGTTCCTAAAGGAGCCCTGAAGCTGCTGATGGCACCGACTTATTTCAGGTGCTCCCAACAAGGAATTGTGAGGCTGCCCTGGCCCGAGGAGGAGGAGGCTGCCATCGGCCACTGGGCCTGCTGGTGGTGCTCCTGGGACCAGAGGCCGAGTGCCTCTACACCGCTTGCCGGGGAACATGGGCAGCTGATGGGCTGCTGTGAGGACGTAGTGCTGGGCTCTTCCCTCGTCCAGCTGAGGGCGAGCTGTCCGGTTGGGCCAGCCTGCAGGCCTCCCTGCCAGCACCGTGGGCTGGTTGGGGCGTCTTGTTGGCCAGGCAGGGCCTTGTGCTCACCTGGCCGGGGGCTGCTCTGAGGGCAAGACACCCTTTCCCGAGGAGCCCCCCGCTGCCTGAAAGTGTGCTTGGCACCGCTTGCCAACCGCGGGGGGTGCGATCTGGGCTGGACACGCCTATCCAGACCCACGCTCTGCATTCTAGCTGAACCTCTGAATTGCGCTTGTGGGACACCCTGAGCTCAGGTGAGGTTTTGACTCTCTTTAATGGCCATTTTCAACCAGCCCCTCCTAAAGTCACCGGGGCGGGGGGCAGTTCTGCAAAAAACACAAAACATGGCAGCCCAGCTTCACATGATGCTGTTGGAGCCCAGATGATTGTGGCCAGTTCTGGGCACCAGAGAAAAATGCAGACAGACTGGGAAGCGTTCAGAGGAGGGCAACAAAGATGATCAGGGACTGGATGAAACGCCACCCTGTGAGGAGAGTTGGAAAGAGCTGGGCATGTTCAGCCTCTAGAAGAGGAGACTGAGGGGACGTGGTAGCACTCAGCAAGTCCACAAAGAGGAAGGCCAAGATCTCTCCTCAATCTCAGAGTGCAGGACGTAGAATGATGGCTGGAGTGAAAGGGTAGAGAACAAGAAAATTTTCTGGCCCGTTCCAGCAGTACCCATGGCCCAGGGGGGCGGGGGCTCTAGCCCTTCCAACACCACAACTCTTATGATCAGCACATCGTGGCTCTTGCGCACAGCTGTGGGCCCTGGCACCATGTGCATAGCCAGGCGCCCTTCAGATGGGGCAGAGAACATGAGCGGAGGCTGGGGCTGTTGAACACTGCCAGCCCCACAAGCCACAGGGCTGCCCTGCCGTGGAGCCTTGCCGTGAAAGGGCACTGGGACAGGCCAGCGGCCACCTGCCTCCCTGCCAGCCTCGGCGGCGTGGCGCAGCGTGAGGGGGAAGGTGGAGACGAAGGTCAGCGGGCACCGTCCGACTGCTGGGGAGGGGGCCAGGGCATGACCCAGGGGGCGCACAAGTCTGAAGGCGCAGTTCCTAGGGAGGCAGGCAGGCAGGCCGACTGCCTCCTCCCCATCGTTCGTGAGCCCCTGGCCAAGTGTGCCCCCCCAGGTTGTGTGGGAGCAGGCAGCTGTCCTTCCAAGTCTGGTCTCTGGCAGGAGTGCCTGTCCATCCCACACGTGGCCTGGCTGGGCCGGGGGGATGCACTCCTGCTGCTGAAGGGGCCGGGGGGGGGGGGCGGGGTCCGGGGTGGTGCTTGCAGAAGGGCCCCTCGTCTTCTGAGCCTGTGGGGGGCATGTCCACCCTTCCCTGCCCGGGAAATGCCCCCTTTTCGTGCCCCCTGCCCCTCTCTGGGCCTGCCTGCTTGAAGCACATGTCGGCCGGGGGCGGCCAGGCCCGGAGAGGCTCCTTCCTGGCCTGCGGCCCCCAAAGGATCCCAAGGGCTGCCGCCTGTGAGCAGCAGGCGTGGGGGCGCCACGTGCGCCCCTCGCGCGCCCGCGCGTGTCTGGCCCCCAGCCCTGCTGGGTCCCGAGACCGATGCGCTGGCGGGGGAGGCGCTCC